CATCACATCACCTTATATATCTATATATAATAGTAATCCTAAAAGAATGAATATTTTTTTTTGTTACTTCTCGGTTTATTTATACTGGTTATTTTCAATGGTTGCGTCTTGTCGAAAAATTGTATATTTTCGTAAAAAAAAACCATTTGGTGGCTATTTCCAAAAGTTACACCTTTTCAATATAACAGTTTTGTCAAAAATTGCGTCTTTTCGATATATCCGTTTTGTCAAGAGTTGCGTCTTTTCGACATAACTACTGTATAGTTATTTGTAAAAGCTGCGTCTTTTCGAAACAAACCGTTTCACCTATATATATATATTTTATCTCGTTGGTGTGACGTTTGGTGGTTACTTCCTAAAATTTTCGTGTTTTTAAAATGTTAATATAACCGTTCCGTCAATAGTTGCGTTTTTCTTAATAACCACTTGGTGGTTACTTCCTACGTCAATAGTCGCGTCTTTTCATGATAATTGAATGGTGGTTATTCCTAAAAGTTATGATTTTTAAAAAATAACCGTTCTATCAAAAATCTGTTTTCCTATATATGTTTTGATCGTTCTTTTGTTCATCCTTTTTCTTTTGTCTGGCTATTGGTTTTACAAATTACTCAAAACTTAAGGCTTATTCAAAACGTCATTCTATTATATTGCATTTATTTAACAAAAATTTTTATTGGTTCTACAATTCATTTATTTCTTTTCACCTCTAAGAATATTTTGCAAATGAATATTTTTTATTGTGTCTNTTTGGAAAACCNTCTNTTATTTATATATTTTGCTATAGAGTCCGATAAAACCGCATTATGGTTATTTTGTAAGGTTGTGTCTTCTCGACAAAACCGTTTTATGGTTATATTCATGAGTTGCATTGTTTCGTTTAAACCGTTTTTTTCAAATGTTGCGTCTTTTCATAAAAAAAACTGTTTGGTGGTTATTACGAATAGTTACGTATTTTCGATATAACTGTTTTGACATTTGCGTCTTTTCACTATAACCGTTGTGTCAAGAATTGTGTCTTTTCAAAATAACCGCTAATGGATTTTTTTAAGGTTGGGTCTTTCAAACTAATCGCTAATGGTTGTCTATATATATATCTCTCTCTTTCTTCGTTGAACAATTTGTTAATCATGAATATTTCCCATAATTCAAGTTAAGAGTTTGAAATCAAACTCCGTATGATATTTTTGTTTCTTTCAATAACAGATTCAACTGCGTTTATTTTTTTATATTCTTTTTCTTAAACTGTTATACAAGAGATAAGTTCGACACTTTTTTAAATCAGCAAAATCTTGCTGATTGTCCATCACTATGAACATTGGTGGGTCTGTTTCGTATCCCGATGCACTGGTGTTACATTATATCCCTCACGCGAAAAGAGAGAAGGTTAAGTATCACTGAAAATCACTATCACTATAATTGCTTTTCTCACATAACTCCAAAAACCCCCAGTGGCAAATGATATCTTATCATTTAATATGTGTTTAAATTTACATGTCTTGTTATTTAAATCATTTTGGATTTCGAGTACTATGGTTTAAGGTTGTTGCCATTAACGTATCTGAACATTCGATACAAAAAAAAATATTATTAGGAATTTAAGATGGAATAGTCATGTTTTTGTATGTGATCATTTAACAGAAACATGTTGGAGACTTTTTGTTTACTTAGGTTACCATTAAAGAACAAGTACAATGTTTATAAGTTTTTTTTTGTTTTTGGTTACTTAGGTTACTCACGCCAGAACAAAAAGTTTCTCGGTTTTAGATTCATAGTAGGTATACGTTAACTTTTCCTTTTGGGTTTCTTTTTCCAGTGCCTAATTAAGTTTATTTTTTGTCAATAGGTAAATGATGACAATTACAAAAGACGGATCCACAAGGTTACAAAACTATAGCCAATTTCCACTTTGATGTGTAATGACAACTAATTTCTTTAAACGCGTAATAACCATTTCATAACTACAGTTTTGAATAGAACTTTTATGTGTAGTAGAAAACTAATACTCTTGACGGCATAATTTATATATATAATCTAATTTTAGGATTCTGTTAATACATTTTAAAATTACAAATCATTTTTATTTAATGTTATTTAACATTTTCTTACAGCAATGTTATTAAACATTTTTTGAGTTAAAATAGTCCTT